CATTCAATTCTCTGGTCTGCAGTTTCTTGGAGATGCCATGTCTGAATAAGATGCTGCAACCTTTATACAAGCCTACTAGATTGCATCGGAAACATGAGAAACTATTGATGTGATGATGGAAATAAGAACGTCTATTTCTTCTCTGTCTGTTTCCAGGGAGAAGAAGAAGGAGCAGGAGAGGGACGAGCTGTGGAAGAAGCTGGACGAGTTGAGGCTCAGCAGCAGTGCTCTCGTCCAGAACAACAGCCACGGGCTCCCGGGTGTCCAGAACAACAACAACAACAACAACAACAATAGTAATAATAATGACACCCAGGACAAGAGCGCCGAGGCTGCTGCCGTCACCTCAGAAAACAAAGATCCTGACGACAGTGTGGCGGCCAATGAGAGCAGCCCATGTGCCAAATGACACCGGATGTTAGTTTTTTATTAACGGTTTGACATCGTGTTCAGGACTGTCACGAGAGGATTAACGGAGACAGAAAAAAACACAAATTACACCTCAACAGTATATTAAAATCAATTTAGAGTGACTTAGAAACGCCAGCATTTCCTTGGCATAAAAAAAATATATATATTTCAACTTAAGACTATTTTTGGATGTTACAGTGTGGCTGCAGTATCTTGTTTATTCGTCTGATCAAAGATTTATCCTTTCACATTTAGTTTCTTAACTGAAAATGATTTTTTTTTTTGTTTATATTCGTTGTATGATACATGGGAGGGGAGAAAATAATGATGACTTGAATTTAATGTTTCCGATTGTGCTGCACTTAGACAAGCTGAATAGCTATTTAAAGATGTCTATTTTTTAATGTGCTTTTCCTTGTTGCTGCCAACGCTTTGGGTGCAAACCTTAAGGAAGAAGGGAACTCGGACTTTGGGAGTATTCGGGGTAGATGGGACCAGATCCATAATTAAACATTGAGTGTCCATTGATGTATTGAAAAGTGTAGTTACCACAAGAAGCTACAGGACTGTTATCTCACTTTAGAGATAGAGAAGGGGAGGTGCATGGCCAAAAAGAAGATAAATCCTGATGAATTATAATCCCAGATATGGATTGATATCTCTGTAAGTGACTCTAGTTGAGACTGAAATTAAAACTTGTTCTCAATTAGGGTAGATGTCATATTTGTGAGATTATTTTTGTGTTTCGGGTGTTCGTAACTGTTCGTTTAGCTGGGTGAAGCTAATAGATGTCACACAACACCTGCATTTATAAAATCACACTAAAGTATTGAGACAGGACATTCAAAGAGTTAAATGTTTTTCAGCCAAGCCGCAATTAAAGTAATGTTTCAACTTTTTGGGGAAAAGCCTTATTGGCTTTTTAATTGTGAGAGTTAGTTTAGAAGTTTGATAGCACTCATAGTGTAAGAAACTGCCGGTGGTTAGCTTAGCTTAGCATAGACTGCAAATGGAGGGAAACAGCTAGCATAGCCCTTTTTAAAGCCTTATTCAGACCTACTCGCAAACACACATTCCTGGTAGTTTACCTCGCAATCCTTGTGACCAAAGAAAAAATATCTTATATTTAATGTTCCAGAGATGTAAAATCAAGTCTGTATTACAAACACGTTTAATATTTCACCAACTGGACTTCCTGGAGCGTATTTCATCGTCTTACCTGTAGCTTAAAAAATGCCGCCCTAGCATCATTCATCAATTTGACGTTTATAGGGAATGTTCAGTATAGGACTATTTCTGAATTGTTGTTTTAACGCCTAGCTGTTTGTTTAAAAAAATTAAAACATGTTCATTTGTTAGAGTAATGAGGTGGATTTTGATACTTTAAGACGGGGCTAGGCTAGCAGTTTTCACCTGTTTCCCGTATCTATGCTAAGCTAAGCTAACTGCCTTCAAGTTCATCGTACAGACGTGATTTATTGATCTTCTCATCAACTCTCGCCAAAAAAAAGTATTAATTTAAATCAAGTTAATTAAGAAATAAAAACATATGAGACCTACAGTACTATCTTTTCTAGAGTATTGACGAGGCAAATATTTTCTAACGTTTCATTTTGCAGATGAATTATGATGGGATGCAGGATGCGCTTGAGTGTATATTAGTGGAGTGTGTATATGTTAGATTGGAGGCTACTTAAAGGGAAATGCCACTCAATTTAAGATTTTTCTGTACAGTATATTGTTTCCGTGGTCTAGGAAAGTGCAGTCTTAGGAACATAAATGGTTATCTGTCAAAGCCGAGAAGACTTACACTTGTCTTACCACTTATCTGGCATTTTACACAATGCACAAGAGGCTGAGTTTTTATATCCAAACTTATTATGAAGTAGTGATATCAAGAAACACCAGAAAATCCGAGTAATCTTTACCATCAATGCCTGTTCACTCCCCGCATCTCCAGACTTTATAACCTCACATTTGCTTTTAGGGTCGACGTCGGGAGTTTGATGAATGTGTTCATGGACTTAATCTGACTGCCGTAGATCATAGGAACAACTTGTGACTTCTTTTTAAATTGAACGGTGTTCCCGCTGAACCCCGAGTGTCTGCTCTTACTTCTTCTGAGTTTTTAGGTCCAGTCTTTTCTGATGCCTTTCTGTCAGTACAGCATTCCAACCTCTGTGACGTTAAAAAAAACTGCGTGGGGAACCTGTTTTGTAATCGCAGATCTTATTTAGGTTTCACCATCAAATAAAGTCTACTCTATCTTTCTACTCAAAGCATCCATAACCAGTGTGTTTTTTCCTTATCTCTCCCTAGTGTTTAGGTGTAGTACACCACGGAGGTCAACAGAGGGCGACCTTATCAGCATTGAGCAAAATCGATGCAAAAGAATTACATTGAATAAAGAAGAATGCCTTTTTTTTTTTAAATCAGGTTATCATTGAGACCCAGATATTTTCTGTAAGAGAGACTTGAGTACAGCAGAAGAAAATATAAAACAGAGGCTCAAAAACAATCACACACCTCATAAAGTGTTCAAAACAATTACATTAATTGAAAAAAACGAGCAACCATAAATATATACATACACATACAGTATATATGCCAACCTATACCCATATTCACATATATACATAGGCACTTGGTTGATTCAGATAATAAAACAATATCAAATTAACAAATAAATGATGTAATACAATGGATAAAAGTAAATCTATATTGATTTCTAGGTTAATTTCACAAGCTCTCCAGCAGGCCTACAATAATAAGTAACACCTTTACCAGGTGAAACTTTAAAGTAAATACATACAACAATCAATTCTTATATTTCAATCAGACAATTTAAAATTGACTTGTAATCTTTTGTATGTTGTGATGTGACTACTGTAACTATCCTTCTACCGCTGTGTGAAAGTGCTCTGAAGAAACATCAGCCGTTATTTAAAACGGAAGAGAGTGAATCAGCCATTAGAGCCCATTTTATGACAAGCTGTCATTACAGCTCTTTCTCTAAATAGCAGTGCTGTAATACCTGGAGGTGAGTCGTTCCTTCCACCTGTTAGACACTTCCATGCATTGTTCTCACTTTTCATAATTTTTAAAGTGTAGGGCTTCATCCATAGCTTTATTTGTAATCAATATGAAATTACAGCTTACTGAGGGAGAAAAACAAATAAATATTTTTTCATTTCAAGTAGTGATTTTACTTAATTAACTTAATTAACTTAATTAACTCTTCACTCCCTGGGATTCATATGAACTGCATACATAAAATGCTGTATTTGGATCTTTAAGTGTCCAGTTTGTTTACTTCATTTTATTGCATTTGGTTATATATTTTATATTTCTTTAATAAGGACACAGGAGGTGGTTGGGTACATCTCTTTTTTTTTTGTTACAATTTTTGTATAGACAATTAAAACCAATACCTTGCGTGATACTCATTATGGTGCAACACACACACACACACACACACACACACACACACACACCTGCATAAAAACAGAAGTAGTTGTTGAATGAAGTACATTCACTCGAATACTGTCCGAAATTCAATTTTGAAGTACTTTTTCTTTCAATTTTTCCATTTTCACTTATGTCTGCTCTGTTGCATCTCAGTGGTAAATATTGTAGGTTTTTCTCTTAAGGATATCAATGCAGAATGTTTAATTATTTTTCATGTATTTATAATATGCAGTGGTGTAAAGTAACTGAGTAGATTAACTCAAGTACTGTACTTAAGTACAATTGTAGGTACTTGTGCTTAACTTGAGTATTTCCATTTTTTGCTATGCGCTTCTACTCCACTACAATTCTGAGGTAAATATTATACTTTCACTCCACTACATGTATTTAATACCTTGAGTTACTCTGCATATTTGGATGAATGATGTGAAATATAATCAACACTTAAATAAGACTTTAGTTCCACCTGGAGTAAATTCACAAGCTACCCTGCAGTATACAAAGTCATTAAAATAGCTGCACCTTTACCAGCTTTGAGAACACTTTAATGCATCATTAATTATAATCAAAACATATCAGTATTCCTACTTCTACTTTTACTTGAGTACACGATCTGAGTACTTCTTCCATCTCTGATAATATGTGGTATTGGTATTTTTTTTAAATGTAAAAGATCCAAACACACATAAAACAAACACACATATTTACACATACAGTATATGCAGCGCATACTGTACACATTATAGCCTACAGAGATGCACACATAAATACTGTATGGAGTGAACATGTTATTGGAAACTAAAGAGATGGAAGCTCAATTAAAACGTGTTTTCACAGGATCCAACCCAACTAATTAGAGGTCAATCACACAACATTAATGATCATTAGTACCATTATTTTCAAAGGTGTTTGTCAGTGTGACTGCCTCTCATTATCATGCCTGATATGTCACTCCTGATGGGATGTGTCCCCCCCCCCCCCACCCAGTTAACCCCTTCTGGTTCAGGGAGCATGCTGGTTACCATGGAGACCCATCGGCTCCTATAAAAGTGATCCTCCGTGCTCTCACCTTCGTGTCTCTCTCGCGAAGGAGACTCCGAGACCGGATCCAGCTCCAGCTAATGAACCGCTCTGAGGAGAACCGGAGCTCCTCCGCCTTCACCTCCACCCTGAGCCCCGCCGCGGACTCCTGCGTGGGGGTGGCCATCCTCTCCGTGGGTCCGTGAGTTCAGTATTATATTGAAGTGTTTTTCTTCACTGATAAAACTAAATATAAATACTTCTCATTTAAAAGTTGTATTCTTTTAATAGACGATACAGGAAACCAGGAAGTAATGTTAGACATTTTTTTTTTTTTTTAGGTTAGGGTTCTTAATAATAGTCTCTGGGGTTAATTCATGGAGCCTTTTTTTTTTTAAGTGTATATTCATTTATTATACGTGTGTTTTTTGTATTAATAGCCTTTGGGGGAATCATGTAGCACTTATTTCCCCAAAAAGTGTGGATATATTATATTTTTATAAGAAGCTTTTAAGGGATATTAATGGAGCAATTATTTTCACAAAAGTGTGGATATATTTATTATAAGTTAGGTTTTTATATAAGAAGCCTTTTGGGGAATGAGTGGACCACTGTTTTTCAGAAGTGTGTGTTAATTGATTTATTATATGAGTGTTTTCTTATTAATAGTCTGGGGTTAATTAATGGAGCCTTTTTTTCAAGTGTATATTTATTTATTATATGTGTGTTTTTTGTATTAATAGCCTTTGGGGGAATCAGTACTTATTTTCCAAAAAGTGTGGATATATTAGTTAGTGTCTTATAAGAAGCTTTTAGGGGATATTAATGGAGCAATTATTTTCACAACATTTTATTTTTATTTCATTCGTTTATTTGGCAGGGACATTGCTCATTCTGTGTGGATATATTTATTATAAGTTAGGTTTTTAATGACCTTTAGGGGGCATTAATGTAGCACTTTGATTTAATTTATTAATTATATGTGTTTTTTTATTAAAAGCCTTTGGGGAATTGATGGAGCTCTTCTTTTCAGAAAAGTGTGGATATATTTATTATATGTTAGGTTTTTTTTACAAGAAGCCTTTGGGGGAATCAGTGGAGTACTGTTTTTCAGAAATGTGTGTTAATTTATTTATTATATGTGTGTTTACTTATTAATAATCTGGGGTTAATCAAGGTAATTAAGTACATTGGATTCAAATATACGCCATATACATTCAACTAGAAATCAGAGAGCACAGTGCTCAAATCGCCTCACTTATCTTCTAAATCATTTATTTGTATAGAAAAAATGTGTTAATTTCTGCTGTTAAATCATGATGTGCATGAAAAGACACATAGGTGGTGCAAGGAGAAAATAGCAACTTAATTCAGTTCGTTAGCTCAATAGAGAGAAGCCTTGAATAAAGCTTGCCTTTCATCAGGTGCTAGTCATAATCCTAAATGCCCCTGTATATGAGAACGTACATTAACATAGAATAATTGGCAGCTGTGCAGTATTTACAGTTGCTAAGGGATATATTTTTCGGCTTATGGTGGCTGTATAAGGAGGATACATTATTGTATTATCATACACACAGTATACTGTTAGTCACTCTTTTCCATCAGGGAGGTGAGGGATGTGTTTTTATTAGGCAGCCTTTGCATCATTACCTATAAAATATGACAAGACAGGTAAAATATATATAAAAAAAGAACTATAGGAGTAAATATAATATATAGTAAAATTGACATTGGAGGGCGATTGGATTTCACACTGTGGTTTTGTGTGTGTGTGTGTGTGTGTGTGTGTGTGTGTGTGTGTGTGTGTGTGTGTGTGTGTGTGTGTGTGTGTGTGTGTGTGTGTGTGTGTGTGTGTGTGTGTGTGTGTGTGTGTGTGGTGTGTGTGTGTGTGTGTGTGTGTGTGTGTGTGTGTGTGTGTGTGTGTGTGTGTGTGTGTGTGTGTGTGTGTGCGTGCGTGCGTGTGTGTGTGTGTGGTAACAGGTTCCTTGTTGTCCAAGTGGCCAACTAGTCAATAAATGCAGCTTGTATTATGAAACGTCTTCTCCTCTCATCTCCTGTCCAGTCCTGCTCTCTGTCCTGGGCAACGGGCTGGTTCTGCTCGTTTGTTACCGCAGGAGGAACAAGTTGGTGGGCTCGGAGCTGCTGTGCGTCAACCTGGCCCTGGCCGACTTCCTGGTCTGCATCTGCTTCTACCCATTCTCCATCATATCCTCGTTCAGCCACAGCTGGCTGGGAGGAAACATCACGTGTGTGTACTACGGTCTCGGCTGCTTCTTCTGCGGCCTGTGTGGCATGTTCACTGTGGCAGCCATCAGCGTCACCCGCTACATGAAGATCTGCAACAGCTTGGTTTACGGTGAGGGCAGTGAAAGGATGTGGATTTAAAGGGGCCCATCTGCTTTTTGGGGTTTTCCCTTTCCTGTAGTGTTAAATAGGTTGGACCCTGCTTGGAACGCCTCCATTGGACTCCTTTGTTTACTTCCATAACATCATGACATCAATATGTAACAGTAACGTTTCTATTGGCTAGCGCTCCAACACATTGTACGTGATAGGATAGGGGCGGGACATCTTTAAGCGATCGACCAATCACAACAGAGCCGGCCAGCTAACCAATCAGAGCAGACTGGGCTCTGTTTTCAGACAAAGGGTGAAAAGAGGTGCTGCAGCACAGGAAATATGAGAAGTAGTAGATTTACAGCAGGAAAGGTATATTTATTATTTATTTGTATTATTGGTGAATCCTTTGGCTTATTAACATGTTTTGCCTTTGCTGCATTGTTATGTCATTGGTCTGTCAGCCTTAATAAGCACTTCTCTCTGGTTGTAGTCTTTCATTCTCTGATTTATTTTGGTTTAACAACACACATTTTTTTTCTCAAAGCCATAGGTTTATGAGAGACAACGTTTTTAATGACATAACTGTCTCTTTCTTCCTTCTCTCAAGATGTCAGAATTGACATTAAAGAGCATGTTTGTCTGATGATTCAGCAACACTTTTTTAAATGTCTCATACAAATGGTGATAACGAGGCACAAATGTTACATCAGAGCTTTAATCAGTGTTTCACAAACCTGTCTGTGCATAAATGGCCTCACTCAAGATGCTTTTCATCATAAATGTGACTGATGGTGATTGAGTCTCCATTTATGAAGAACTTGAGCTTTTCTTTTTAAGTTCATTGATTGACATTTTACAGAAAAATATGTGTTTTCTATTTAATACTGCAATACCACTTTCATGCACAGTGTGAAGCTAAAAGCAGCAGCCAGTTAGAGGAGGAATAACTACAAGGCCGTCCCTGGCCAACTTGGGGCCCCAAGCGACATTGTGAGATTATTCTACTAATAATAATAATCATAATCATAATCAATTCAATAATAAATACTATATTATTTTATTATAATATAGTTGTAATATAGTCAAGACAAAACATGCTTATTACATGCTCAAAAACTGATATTTCTTAAATCTGTATTCAAATGTAGTTCCCTCTGTCAGCAATGTATCAACAACTACACACATATTTCTATCAGTATTTCTCTGTGTTGTGGTTGACATGATGATGACTGTTAGGAGTTAAGGGGAGAGGCTGAGCATCACCATGAAATGTGCAAATTGACATAAAAATGAATAAAAGGGGAAAAAAATGCTCCATGTTTTTTAGGCCGTAAACTTTAACTGTTATGTAAGCCAACTAGACAGACAGTTTATCACTCTTCCTCCTGTACATTAGCAGATAAAAGGCATACAATACTTGAATGAATGGTAAATAAAGAATGCTGGAAATAACTGCATCTCCATTAGCCTATATGCTATGCAGAGAGTGCGTGGAGAACTGCGCACAAGCCAAGCTCATAAGCCGAGACACCCTGTGCGAGGCCCCCTGCGCAATGTGAGGCCCCATGCAACCTGCATGATCGGCCTGTAGGGAGGGACAGCCCTGAATAACTAGCTCTGCTTTTCAGCACCCCTAAAGCTCACTAACTACCACATATATATTATTTGTTGAATCTGTACAAAAATAATTAAACTTTGTTCTACAGATTTCGGAAAAATAAGAGGACATAACCTTGAGTGAGCTTAGAGGTGCAGGTGGGTGTTTTGTTTTTGTACCTTTGGACAGAGCCATGCTAGCTGTTCCCCCCTGTTTTCAGTCGTTGTGCTAAGCTAAGCTAACTAGCAAATTAGCTCATTTTAGCTTTGCTTAGTTACTTGATTTAAATGTCTCTACAGAGTGCTGTATCAATCTCTGTGGGCATGTGCTATGACGCACATACCCAAATGCCTTATGATCTGTTTAATGCATTAAGTATAAGCATGTAATACTTATAATTGCTACTCAGTGACATATTCTTAAGGATCATATTGTTTTATTATTATATTATATGTTTTTTATAATGCCACAAAATGCATTTTAATTATTATTTACATATTAGGACAGTGATTTTTATGAAACCTCATTATACTTGACCTTATAAGTCCTTAAAATGCTTTATAATGTGTTATGATTATTGTTATTAAGTATTTATGATTGTTATATTCATACTGTGCTATAAATAGAATACAATGCATTGTAGACATGGAAAATTAGAAAATGCTACCAATAATTTAATGTTTATCTCAGCGAGAGAGAAAGCAAACTTGCCAAAACGTTGAACTATTCCTTAGCAATAAAGCAGCGAGATACATTTTATAGTGTATAACTGCTAGACAAGTGTTTCCCAACTAGTGGAAAGCGGTCCAAAAGCGAGTCGCGGAACATTTCTGAATGGATCAAAAGTGACTCTTCTGACTTTTCTTCACAGATGTGTGGTTAGAAGAATCTAACATCCGGCTGATGTGCTTTGCCATCTGGCTGGTGGCCGTGGTGTGGTCCTGCCTCCCTCTGTTCGGATGGGGCGAGTACGTCCCCGAGCCGTACGGCCTGTCCTGCACCGTGGCCTGGAGGGGCTACCACTCATCCACCAAGGACGCCTTCTACATCATCTGTACCTTCACCGTCTTCGCGCTGATCCCCGTCGTCCTCATCGTGGTGTCTCAGTGTCTGATCCTCGCCAAGCTTAACCGCTATTCCTACTCTTTGTCTGCGAGGGGCATCCGCAACAACATGCGATACATCGAAAAACGACTCTCCATGGTGAGAAACTACGTTTTCTTTCTGGAACGACTTCATTGCAGTGGCTTCCTTAAATCTAGGCATCTACAACTTGGCTTAATTTAGATTTTATTAAGCTAGTTTTAGGGTTTAACTTAGTGAAGAGCACTCAAGAAACAACATGGGGTTGGACTGGTTGGAAATGGATCTATTTTGCAATGGAAATATTCAATTTATATTGACGACTATTTGTAAAATAATGGAGACACTTAACTAAATAATTGGGTCGAGCGGCCAGTTGGCAATGTGAAAAAGCTCATTTACCGGAGTATTTCCATCCAGTTCCACTTTTGAAGCAAATGCTTTTATTTTTACCCAAATACATTCATTTAAAGGTGGGGTAGGTAATTTTGGAGAAACCAACTCGAGTGCGCTAAAATTTGAAAATACACAGCCGGAAAAAATCTGCCACTTCCTTATAGAGCCCCTCCTCCAACACACAAACGAACGCGCACATGACCAATGAGGGCACGAGATAAGTTTGTGCACCGATGGAAGGCTGACAGGCAGGTACGCCATCCAGTTATTTTAGCCGGGCCGGCTAAAATGATTGGTCGTGCTTTTCACAGTACTACGGCTTCCACAGATGAAATTTTTTTATGGATTTTTGGTCAAAGCACTTAAGATATTCATTGCTATCGGGATGTTAAGAGCATTCCATGGATTATAGCAAAAAGTGTATCTCGAGACGGTTTCTCAAACTTAACTACCCCACCTTTAACAATCATAACTACTTTGTATATAAAAACACAGGATATTTTTATATGATTTGATGCAGCACTGTATCATAAATCATTTGAATTGTATTTGTTTGTGATAAAAACATAATAATATTATTGTATAACGAGATTAAACAGCAAAAAAGGCCATTCTTCAAAATTAGTATATTTACTTTTGATACTTGAAATAGATGACTTTTACTGATCTGAGTAGTTGTTCCGACTCTGTTCAGGCGGCAGTACCCAACTCCTTTGGCTTATAAACAATTTAATGTCTACCTTTGTCAACAGTGGCTACCGGTTAATAAAAGTCAGCCATAGAGGGGTTTTGTTTTCCTGTTTTTAGTGCAATACATTTTACAAAACTAGGATTCGGTGTACTTTAGCAAATGATTGGGGTTATGGTAAAAAAACAAAATCCCATTTGAGGTTTATAAGCGCCTGAATATTCATGTCAGGCTGTGGTGAGTAAGACACATTTCTACACACTAAGCTTCTGCTTCAAATGAGGAAAAGTTTCCTCATTTGCAACTGAAAATAAACATTTAAACATGTGACTGATGCTGTCACTTTTTCAGGACAGTCATAACTTACAAACATTGATTTTGATAGGCTGCTTGACCACATTAGCATTGTATTTGTTTTTCTACAGTCTCCAAGAGACCAGCTTTAAAGGATTACACCCCTAATGATTCATTATTTATTTACAGCACTAAAGTATTTCCAATGTGTATCTTCGGTTATCTGTTACTTCCTCTTCCAGATGTTCTTCTGCGTCAGCCTGGGGTTTGTGATTGCCTGGGCGCCGTACGCTATCGTGTCCTTTCTCTTCATTTTCCACGAGGAGCATGTGTACATGGCTTCTGAGGGATACCTGTTTCCCGCACTCTTCGCTAAAAGCTCGCACATCTACAACCCGTTCATCTACTTCTACTTCAACAGGACGTTTCAGAAGGAGCTCCGCCACATGCTCCGTTCAATCGGGCGCAAGCTTGGAGGAAATCGAGTGAGTGTCCACGTCCCCATCGAACACCATTTTCCCATCCACATCCAGCTGCAGGAAAGAAGATGCGTCCGGAAGAAGAGAGGTGGTGTGTCTCAGGACAGAACTCGCAGCAAAAGCAAGAGCAAAGAACAAGAAAAATGCATCACCAACAACCAGAAGCTGGTTCAAACCTGCTGGGAATCAACGGCGAAAGAAGCCCCCAAGATTTTGGAAAAGAATCCTGGAAAAGACATCAAGCCTGTGTCCTTATGAACTGTTTAAATGGGGGATTTATCTCAGAATCAGAAACAGAAACAGGTTTATTACCAGGTAGGTTTACACTTATGAGGAATTTGACTAGGTGTCGTGGTGCATACATAAAAGTAAAACAACAATTTAAACACAGATAGAGAACTAGAACAAATATTAAAATAATAAAAAATATAGTCAAATATAAATATAACAGTATTTACATGGAATGGAATAAAAAGGAATAAAATATGGAATAAAAAAAAATTCGGCAGTAATAAGAAAAGAAGTGAGCCTTATTGATGAGGCTGGTAGCAGAGGGGAAGAAACTGTTCAGCTGGCGAGAGACACCTTTGGTTGGTTTTGACACCAAGCAAAAAGCCTGGTGTTTCAGTGTATTCTCTCAGACTAGTGCTATTGCTAGAGTGAGATGCAGAGACGAAATGTATCTGTGGGTGAAGTGCTGTGTCATTCCAAATCCTTCATTTCTATTGCATTCACTGCATTTGTTCAAAGTCATTCAATTCATCCATTGGAAATTCCATTTAGATAATAATCATGTTCCAAGTGCTGTGTTTTTTTTTGTAAAGTGCTTATATATAAGAGTTTCTATGTGCCTACAGTCCATCAATAATATGTTGTAGCTGTGTAGCAAAGCTTGTCCTTGGTTCTCACAGCAACTTGATTTATGGGACAAAAACGTTCTGGAAATGTCAGGTAAACTTGTTACATGCAACTATAATCTGTGTTACATAACTTTAACGTTTCTTTTCACTTGCACTACAAATCAGAGAGGTGAAACTTTCCTCTCTGCTTTTATTTTCTCATCACAGAAGGGGATAATAATGTTGATAGTCGATGTACAAGTTGCAATGAAACAAAGCCATCGTTGATGTTATATCATATCTTTTTTAACAACGCCAGCAGTGTGAATCGTTCACATTGGTCAGGGCTTAATATCTAAAAAATGTTTGGATGGATTATCATGAAATGCTGAAAGGACATTCTTGTTCCCCAGGAGAAGACGAGACTGTGACTTTGGTGATCCTCTGACATTTCCTCTAATTCCACTTTGAGGCTCACGTTGATTAAAACTTCTGAACAAGTGCAAGAGGAACTGCCTTCAAAATCTGCGCTGATATCAGAGGATTATTATCAGGGACTTTGGGGATATATCTTTTTATATCACCATTTCTATTTGTCCAATGTCAGCAAGTGAATGACATTTCACTCAGCCTTAGCTGTAGTTTGTATCAGTATGTAAGCATTGCATTTGTCAGATTTGTGTTCTTGCTGGTGTTAGCATTTAGCTGAAAGTAGTGCTGTGCTTTCTGCTGCCCGAATGTCATATCAAAGGTATATTATTTCCGAGGTTCTGACCTGCTAATAGCATTCACGTCAACCCCAAACTCATAAGTGTGACATGGAAACTGGGATTTTATCAGAGAAACATAAAACATAGTGGATTTGGCACTAATGTGAATATAGTCAATACACTGTATGTTATTCCAACTCAAAAATACGTCTTAAAAAAGTGAATATTTGCAAGTCATAATCACAGGAATCTCTTCCATCTATCCCGTTTCCATATCCCATATTTATTTTGTCCTTACATTTCTTTGTATATTATTGTGAATTAAATAATTATTTTCCAGCAAGTATAAATTCTGACTTTTGAGATCAATTTTAAATGAATGATTAGCTTTATGTATCTGTGAAAGTGTAGCAACGTCACACATCATACCTCAACTACTAACCTCAAGTAAAAGGGACAACCTGATGTTGATATTTATATATATGGAGCTACATATGGAGATCCATGTTATGGTTCTTCATGTATTATATATATATGTATTTGACAAATAACTCCGGCTGTCTGTTTTAAGCTTTTGGATATTATCAGATATTTAAACTGGGAATTTGTCCTAAGTATAATAAACGGCTCAAACCAAAGACATTGTGAACCCTTCTCTTTACTGTTAATATTTCATGGTTTCAAATTGTAACATATTCTCACATTTCTATTCAATCCACGTCTCATTCTTCATTGATTCAACAGCTGCATGAATGTAAAGAAATGAAAATGTCTCAAAGACCAGAATAACGTCTCCTATATTAACACTCTCCTTGTTTAATGAGCTCTTTGTAGTCAATAATGGCAACAACTAGGCATTAACAGAGAGAGGGAACGTTTTTAACAGCTATTTGAATGGTAATAACTGTCCACTTGATGATATATTTAAATTAAAGTTACTATTTCAATACCTGTATCAAATTGAAGGCAACGTGTCAGTTCAGAATAATGACCTGACACCTATAAAAAGCTTCTTATTAATCTTAGAATAAAGAGTTTCTTTAAGAGCTCATTGATTCACTCTCACCGCTCTCGTAGCACAGCTGCCTAGTTAGCACCAAAACAAGCCGATAAACCCAGTTAAAGGTGTTAATTGTCACTTTGGTTACACAAGTACAATCTGAAGTTATTGCCAGGCGTGTTTTTACATACAAGGAATTTGCTTTGGTGTATAAAAGTGCATACATAAACACATTAAGAGAAATGTTAAGTATAAAGTTAAAGAGCAGTTAAAGGAATAACATCAAAACTATTGGAAACACTGATATAAAATAAAATAATATTTTCAAGGAACATGAATATAAAAGAGGAAATAAAATAAGAATATGGCAAAAATATTGTGAAAAAATATTTACAATTTAATTTATAAGTGAAAGAGATGTGCAGTTTCAAAAGAGTATTGTGCAGAAATGTGATTTATACAGTAAGTGGATCCGTAAGGACAATTATAACAATTAAATATGACAAGACAGGTAAATAAAATATAAAAAAGAACTATAGGAGTAAATATAATATATAGTAAAATTGACATTGGAGGGGGATTGGATTTCACACTGTGATTTTGTTTGAGGTACACCAGTGTGTATATGTGTATGTGAATGTGTGTGTATGTGTATGTGTGTGTGTGTGTGTGTGTGTGTGTGTGTGTGTGTGTGTGTGTGTGTGTGTGTGTGTGTGTGTGTGTGTGTGTATGTGTATGTGTATGTGTATGTGTATGTGTGTGTGTGTGTGTGTGTGTGTCTGTGTGTGTGTGATAAAGCTACAGCACAGCTCTTTCAGGCTGGGATCACGTGACGCGCCGGGCCGTGTGCACCGCCTCCTTAAAGAGCTCAAAGTAGATTGAGAGTTGGAATCCAGCTGTGTCTGCAGGAGATGAAGCCTGAGCATAGAGCGTGAGCAGCATCTTTATTTTTCTCATACTGCCTGTGCTACAGCACCTCTTTTCACCCTCTGTCTGAAACCAGAGCCCAAACTGCTCTGATTGGTTAGCTAACAGACTCTGTTGTGATTGATCAACCGCTTAGCGATGTCCCGCCCCTTAGCCCCCCCCCCCCCCCCCCCAAGACCCATACATTGTCGCAGGTGTAAGAGCTAACAAAACGTGATCAGATGCTAATTTGATGCTTTCTATACGATTAACTTACAGGCCTGTTTGTCAGCTCTCCGGGGGACTTCTTCTAACATGTGTGCAGGGCTAATAGCCACAGACCATGATTAAGTCACATACACTCACACACACACCCAGGTAAAAGGAACAGACTGACCTAGGAATCATGAAAAAGAGACTGACATTTCAATTTCAGGTGACTGAAGGTGTTATTGAGTCAGATTATTCCTGTGAGGTCTGTAAACATGAGCAGTGAGATGTTTACCCGGGCTTTGAGTATGTGCCACACATTATGTAACCTCCTCACAAAAGGCTGCATTGATAAGTGTTTTTATTCCTCGTGCAAATCATCACGAGACTTAATTGTGAATCCCACTATGAACTTCACATGAGTTTTTTCCGAAATACAACGGTAGTGATGCACACTCAACCAAATGTAACAACAAAAACATGCATGCATTGTTGTGCTTTGGTTAGTGTGTACACAACTTCAACTCTGAAAAGGAAAAAGCTGCATCCGTGCACGAGAAGGCATTACAAAAAGGGATATCACTTTAATCACTTTTTACTGCCAATTAAAACACACACTCACCTCTACAAAATCCTAAACTGTCTCAAAAGTGGATCTATTAATGAAACATGTGATCTTATATTGCAGTAACAATAACTTAATAAAAGTCACCTTTCATTTACTAGAAATCTAAGATCCAACCATTAAAACAAGTAAACTATCAGAAATGCTTTCACGCTGAGCTTTAAAAACTATAAACAATGATCTACTAAACAAGACTTAGGCCCCGTCCACACGGAGACGAAGCGGGTGTTATCCGTTATAGTTCTTTATCGTATGGACGGTTCGTCCACGAGAGGCCGTAACGGAGCCGCGGAAACGGAGCCCTCAAACGATAACGTATCCCAAAGTGGGAAGGTCTGGTAACGTAACGCTTGCGGCACCGTGTGTACGCCCTAAACGATCATAGCCCCGCCTCTCCCCACCTCTGCTGCTCACCCTCGCGTCACCCGCGTCATTGCTGATGCAATGGCGGATCACAGGGTTGCGTTCGTGCTCCAGACGCTACTGACCATGATACAGATGTTAGTGCAAAATCTACAGCTCATCTACCACAACCATCAGCAACAAGTGGACATGGAGAACTACATAAACCTGTTGCTAAATCCACCACGGAGAATAAACAGAAGGGCAACCAGGCAACCATGGCAACCATACTCGGGGGGTCTTATTCGCTGCTTTTGGTGTATTTTGTGGCGGAAGTACAGCGCCACTTACAGGCCCGGCATATGTACTACAGCGTCTCCAGCGGGTCGAGCGGTCTCGTGTGGACGGACACGTTCCTTGAGCCGATTCCGTGTGAACGGAAGACTTTTTTGATATCGACCTCGGTTCGTTTTCGTTTTCGTCTCTGTGTGGACGGGGCCTTAATGGAGTCCTCCAGGACAATAACCGACTAAAAAAACAAAGAACAAAAGGCATGTTTGTTTGTTTTAATGTCCCCCCCGCCACTGACAAGTTATCACTGGGGATAGCATGTCAAGTCTAGCTGCAGGTCAGTCGAATGAAGACCCTGAATTTTAATAGCGATAGTCTGTCTGTGATATAAACATCAGTGTCATTATTGGATTTGTGGAGGAGAACATAAGCTGTTAACTTGTTGTTGTGCTTACTGTAGTTTCTTTATTTCACACAAGTGGGAGTTACATTATAAATTAGGAAGCAAATTCATGATTATTCCATGTTTTATTCCTTTTTATTCCATTCCATTGAAATGTACTGTTATATTTTACTATCTTTTTTACTATTTTTTATATTTTTCTAGTTCTCTACCTGTGTTTTTAATTCTTGTTTTACTTTTATGAATACTGAGAAATCAGTCAACGATCATTGTGTGAAGAAGTGTAACATGGATACAAATTAAAGTGCACCTATCATGCTATTTTTAGGCAATAGCATAGGTCTCAGATATATAAAAATATATAAAAAACATGTCTATGAAGTGTTTTGACCAAAATACCAAACAGATCACCAATTCTAGCCATGCCCAAGCCCCCAGGAAGTGCGCCGGACTCTGATGAAAATATTCGTTGTGTCCAAACGGCGGTACTACAACTTCCGTATCAGTCCGTGACGTCACTGGGCCCAGAAAGACTTTTCCTCATTGACTAACATTGGGAAAGAGACGTCTGTAAATCAGCGGATACTTTTTTTTAAACTAAATAAACTACCCAGTATGAATTATTTTATAGCCCTTATTGTGTGAAAAGAAATGGAAGATGTTGTGTAATTGCTGATATATTTATGATTCACGTCACATATTCAGTTTTGGCGGCATTTCTTCCAGTTTGTTCAGAAGTCTTCTAATCAGGGCTCTATAAATAAATAACTACGGCAGATGTGTAATATTTAATGCAGCCGAACCGTGTATTACAATGCCGTTATGTGATGACTTCCAAAGAGAAAAGCAAGAACACTCGGAATAAAGTATTATTATTTTCTTTTTAAATGTTTTCCGATTTCATATCGCATAAACACCATATCCCGACGTGCATTGCGGCTAAAACATCCAGGACTATGGGTAGTTCGATGTTTAATTTAGCCTCTTATCAAAACCTCTGAAAAAAGAAATGTGTCTCTCAGAATCGAAAGAGAAAAACCTATGGGAAAAACACAAAAGCATTGTACACAATTTAAACCAATTAATATCGTGTAATTAACAAGGATAAACTGATGTTTTTTAGTGGATGAGTACTGCAGATATCACTGTTACATTTGATCATTGGTTTTATGATGAAAACTTCGAGACCGGAAATACTGTTTTCACCCCGTGAGGGTTGGGTAACTTTACATGGAAGCTGCCGCATATACACGTTCTCCTGACGAAACCTCAAATCATCTTCGTAATATCTATCAAACTATAGATCCTACATATCGACTGGACGTGGATTCTAAAAGAGCAATATACACTTCTTGCTAGAAATCTAATCAAAAAGCATTTTAATGGCCAAACTATCCTACAATTTAGGATTTTAGAGAGAGGGTTATTTGTGAATAAACGACCCTCTGTAACGTTTGCAATCAACGGGAGCACTAGAGGGCGAAAACTTTAAAACGTGATTATAGGTCGTATTAAGCGCTTGAACAAACAACCTATTTGGTCGTAATAAGGGCTTGAACAATCGACCTATTTGGTCGTATGAGTTGGAGGACTTGTTGCAGCCAGCCTCAAGAAGAACTAATGGCAGAAAAAATAATAAACTCGAGAGACGGCTGAGTTGACCGCAGTGCAGAATCGCTGCATTGTTTAAATCTCCTAATGTTGTCCATTTTAGACATGATATTTGTAGGTGAACCAGAAAGTTAG